ATTGAATTACGTAGTTATTTTCAATCCTAAAGATACAAAAGTTGTGTTTTTCATTATCATGCATAATAGTGTCATGTGATGTGACGCAATCGTTTATAAAAGCGAGTTCGTCATCAGTGTGTATAACAAACAATTGCTGATTGAGTCCATTACACTAAGCCTTGTTGTGAGACTGTAACGAATTAAAGTGTATTAGTTCTCCAGTGCATCATAATTTCGGAGAGTCTGTTTGAGATTATTCTCGTGCTACCCAACACCCACTTTAGAATTCTCTTGTTTCGTAAAAACTTTTAAATCGATTAAAAATATGCAAATGTTAGTGTACGTACGTACCACTGAGGAGGCGAAATGTAAAGAAGTGTAAATTGGACTAATAAAAAAAATCGGCTAAGTGCGAGTCGGACTCGAGCACACTATATTACATAAATATTTTTATATTCTGTTTTTCAGTATTTATGACAGACGGGTAGACGTACAGCGGAGTCTTAGTAATAGGGTCTAGTTTTACTTTGGGTACGGAACCCTAAAGATAACAATGTGTAAATAAACATTGTTATGTTTCTCTAATGATGCAGTAAGTTTTTTATTTAATAAAAAACCTATTTAGTTTAAGTGTCTTACAAATGTTCTCGTTCAAAATATTCATCGTTGAATGTTATTTGTAAGGTATTGTTTGCTCTAATGGATGCACACTAGTTAGTTTAGCATTACTTAAAATGCAATAGAGCGAATAAAGAGAGATGTGAAGTAGATAAATATATGTACGAAATAATATATCAAACTTAGCTATCAGATTTATTTTCGGTCTACGCAAGTATGACCATGTCTCCGAATATCGTACAAAGCTCAAGTGGTTACCCATCCGCCTTCGCCGGAATCTGCATATTGTTTCTCTTCTGTACTGTTTTGTTCAATCCTATGACTCCGAGTTATTTGAAGGAACTGTTTAAATTTCTTGGTCATGACAGACCAGAAAGAGTTCTGCGATCAGCCAGTGAACTCATTATCACCCCGCATACTTTCTGGACCAATTATTTTAAGAACTCTTTTACGGTCAAAGCCATTTGCCTATGGAACGCGCTTCCTCCACACATCCAGCGCTCAAAAAACGTTACGCAAGTTTAAAACTGACGTTAAAAATTATTATCTGTCACTGTGTTCAAGCTGATTATCACCGATGACATTTGTATATTTATTTTTTATACTTTTCTTCCTGTATATATTTTTGTAAGTTATTGTACAGTATATGTTTAGATTTATGTATGTCTATTGAATTTTATTTCGTATATATTAGTATATTATTATTATACAAAAATACAACATATTTGTTTAGTTTATTTCAATGTTAGTATGTAAGTTTATCATTTACACCACCTACCGTTGTCCAAATTAAAATATTTTTAACCACAAGGTTGTCTGGAAGAGATCGCTCCTTAGCGATAAGACCGCCTTATTGTTTATACCTCTTAAGTTTATAGTTCTGTAACATTTCCTTTTATGTTGTTTGGTTTCAATAAAGAATATAATATACACCTTTTTACAATAAAACATACCACATCGCGTCAGGGCGGTGGAGATACCGAGGGTAAGACTAGCTAAAACCCGTAAATCGTTTCTCTGTAGATGTTTTCACTTATATAATAAAGTAGGTAACTCATTTTGTAATAGCTAAAGTAATGGAAAGGGCCTATTATGAAATCGAAGAATACATTGATTGCAAGGATGTTTGGAAATTACTCTTGCTCTGCACTTGAAAGTCCCCTGGCTCTGGACAGGTCTAATATAGTGAACCGGTGGTAGTTTTTTTGACATTCAATACGAGCTTAAAATAAGCCTATTTTGAAAGAAATTTTGACATTGACTTTGATTCGTGAGGTCTCGGACTTAGCTTCGTTGGTAAAGCGTCTGAGCGCGAAACCACAAGACGTAGGTTCGAATCCCGGAGCGACGAAAGTTTTTATTCATTTACCTATCCAAATTTAGAATTTATAGTTTAAATATGTTCACTAAGGTGACGCGTTTGTTTACAATGCAACAAATAGCATTTCCTCTTTTTTGAGCTATACTATAAAAAGTCTTGGGATTAAAAGCGAAAACATATTCTATAAAGCTTTATCCGACTTTGTGCCTAATGTGGTCAAATACTCACGTCAAACCATATTATCTGTTGTCCTCTTCTACTCGAGACTAGGCGAATGCTTTGCGGTACAATTACGAAAGTAATATTGCGAGGCGGGCGCATTACGTAATAATGAGAACTAAAAACAAAAAATGGTAAAGATTTCTTCAGAAGCGTATTCTGCATTTACAATAAGTATTATCAAAAACAAAGGGTGTGTAATCATGTAATAACTTTATTTTTCTATCTCTATTTTAAATTTCTCCCATGCCTCATTCTAAAATAAATGTTGACTATAAATATAAGATATGAAAAAATCCACAGAGTCTGAAATCTTGAATTTAAGAAAATTATTTGAATAATTAAATAATATAAATGCTTAGGAAACGCGTTGGATAAAATCTTTTGCAAACAACATAAAATTTGTTCTAAATAAGTAAATTGTCAAGTCATAAATTTTAACCCTTTTTGCCGCAACGAAATATGTTCCAGCTTAGCTGTATAATTTCGTGAATTTTAAAATTAATGCTTTAAATCTCATTCATTTTAAAATGTTTTAAATTTGTATTTTTTGTACTACCAGTTGCAAGTTATAATAGTGAGCTGTTTGTAAATAAGTAACTGTAATTATAAGATATTAAAAAAGAAAGTAAATTGAATTTTGTAGAGTTTTTATGGAGTAAAGTTAAATTATCAGCATCGATACAAATATTTAATGCACTCGTTTTAATCTTCGACTTTTTTATTTAGTTTACGCGAGTGGCTCACTGCTAGCGGTTTCACTCGATATTAGGTGCTATGTAACGTTGCATCTAAATGCACCCTTACATTATCTAATAATTTGGACAAATAAATATATTTCCTTTCTTCTTTCTTTATTGCTTAATAAAATAAACTATATTCATTTGCGTAGCCTACACGCCATACCGACAGATTCTTAAATTCCGAAGCGCTCGCCAAAGTTCGGAGACGCGAACGATTCCCCGTTTGGGCCAATGGAAGCAAGTCTACGTTTCGCACGTCAGACGGAGCGGTCACTGTGCTGTGTGCTACTGACACGTAACGATCGACTATTTTTCAAAAACTCAGAACGGTTAAATCCAATTTGATCCCGCTGGGGTGAGTTCTCATTTCATTACGATAGTGTATATATTTATAATATTGTATTGAAATTGTATAATATTGTATTGTCCTGCTTTCCATTAATTTTCTTGCTGGGGCTGCTTAGCGTAAGAAGTGTAGGTTTTATAAAAGGGGACACTGAGCTCAAGTAGGGTTTGTCCAGCGCTGTTGTGAGCCGCCCTAATGCTTTGCTCCATCTGGCTTCCAGGTTCCTCCTACCCTATTTAATAGGCGAGCGCTGCCGTCTGGATTATTTCAGCCGATCTACCTTAACTACTGAACCCGAACACCCAGATACCCTACGTCAGGCCAGTGAACCCACCGTGCTTTAGCTGTTGTGTGTGGAAGTACGACGAATAAATCATTTAAAAAAATTAACGAATCTTTGAACCCGCCTACCCTACCTTCTGAATTTAGCCGCCAGGCCACAGCTAACCGCTGCCAATGAACATTTGCAACACCCGAAGGGTTACAGACACGTTTCTACCTTTTAATAAAGTGGGCCCAGGTTACTAGAGCACTTCCAATTCACGCTGGTATTCTGTGTGGTCGTGGTACTTCCCCGTTGCGTTGCCTTATCTCAGTAAACTACAAGGAATTTTAAGAGTGCACGGCAAATTTTATATATAAAAATCCTTGCACTCTATAAGTTTATTACGATCCTTTTTATACGATATTACATACTTACTACAAAAACGCGATATCTCATTTGTATTGTAATACATGAATTTAATTTCCATCATTTAATCTTTCAGTTAGGAACTAAATAGGTAAATATATATACCACGTCAGAAGCCATATTTAATTTCATGATATGTCATGTGTTTTCAACCTGTGGTAAATATTTTAATAAAATATTCGATTCACTGATCCGAAGAAAAAATTGAGAGGGTACGTAAGGAGTTTTCCTTTCACGCAATCAGCAGGAAAGTATATTGTGGAGCTGAATATTTAAATCAGTTGAGGTGTCATTTATACAACTTTCCTGTACTACATTACGCATTTATACTACACATACGAATTTTTACATCGTTAATATGTAATGTCGTGTTTCTTTGAAATAATACGTTCAATTACTGACTTGTAAACAGAATATCAGTGCATAACACTGATGAAATAAAATTAAACATTATTTAAATAGCGTTTATATTAGGACTGTCTATGTACAATATAAAAACAGACAGAGTTAATAAATATTGAAATATGTTTATATTTAAATTAAGCTATGTTCTTATTAAGTCTTTAAAGTGAATAAATATCACTGCTCTAAATGGAGTCACCAGAAATATTTTTTAACATTGTATATCCATTTTAGTACTCGGTAGGTATTTGTTTTTTGCAGAGTTGATTGTTTTATTCAAAACAGAATTCAAATGATAATTACGATTACACTTTAGTTTCTTGATACTTTTACAGAAGAATTGACTACTTTTAAAGAAGAATAATTTAGGTCCTAGTTGCTTAACTAGGCTATTAACTTAAATAAAATTTGAGTGTCTGTTTGTAATATTAAAACCTTATTTAAAAAAGGAACAAAATTCCGACTATAAAAGGAGCTCAGAGCTCGTTAGACGGCAGTTCAATGGAGGAACTCGAGGAAGAAGGAACTGGAAGAAGAAAGTGGAAAGTGAAGTAATAGTGAATGCAAAGTATAGTGAACAGTATAGTAGTGAAGTGACGCGAAGGGACTAGTAGTGTATAGTCGTACGCGGTGGGGTGGGGCGGTATCGTGTGGATCTTTGCACTAGTGGATGCGTACATGGAGATTGGTGCGAGAGAGAGCGCACCGGCAGTCGTCACTGTTAGATTGGTGCAGAACGGGAGAGTCGCCGCACCGTTGGAAGTAGTAAGGACTATAGCAGAATTGAGTGGGCATCTCTTCACGTCTTTGTTGGCGACACTAAAGATAATATTTAAATGACCGTAGTTTCACTCCAATCCCGAACCCCCAGCTCGTAACATTATGTATGTAAATCGTCCTTACAACATAGGATAATGTTATCCTAAAGAACGGAAAAAGTTTTTCTAAAAAAAAAAGAAAACAAAAAGAAAAAAGTTCATAGATATGTAAAATAAAGTCATTGTCCTTCCGCGAAATAAATGGGCTCAGTGGTTCTTGGATTACCCTCAACGGACACACAAAGTATAAGCTAATATTACAGATTATATAATAGATCTAAATATTTGTACAGATTATAAAGGATAATTCGTGCATATTATAAAATAATTCCCGAATTTTTATTTACTGAAACTAAAACTGACTCGAGTGTGTATATAGAAAATTGTTTCAGTAACTTAGTTGAATTGCTTTGCTTTCCATAAATAACCCTGGAACAGTTTGTGTTAGTTTGAAATAAGTTCGGGAGTTCCCGCCAAAGCAACTTTTAAGCCTCTATGAACTCAACAGTTATGCAGAAAATGGCATTTCGAAAGTGCATGTATGTATGTGAAAATTTTGGCGTTATACGAGTATGTGGGTCATAACTGATAATATTATCTAAAAAGTAATAGTATTTTTTTTGTATCTATGGCAGAAAAGCAAATCGAAAAAAAGTTAAGCATACGATAAATTAGCCACGTGTTCTTTTTAGTTAGTAAAACGTGTTCACATGGTATCGTCCCAAATTTCAGCCACAAGAATTACACTGTCAGCAGAATTCATCAGGTCTCTGCGTGCCGTTGGTCGGGCACGCAGCGCACGACGTCAAATGTTCCGAGGTTTGGGTAACAACACCACATTTGCACTTCAAGCTTGAACCGTCTAAGCCCCACCTGAACAGGTTCACTTTACTTCGGTTGACTTTCGTCCGAAGTCTATATAAGGCTTCCAGGCAGACTGTTGGCCACGATAACTTATGTCCGGTCGGTGGTTTCCCAGATAATGGGACATAGGGGCTAGGGACATCGACACTTTGTACACATTTGCACCAACACTTTGCACACATTTGCACCAACACTTTGCACACATTTACCACAGCCTGCATTTCTCCTTCGAAACGTGAAGAGGAGACACATAAGAAACGATACAAAAATATCATTCAACTTAGGTACGAAGCAATAAGGAATCATGGTTCTGTAGCGCTTTCCATTGACCTTATCATTATCACCAAGACATTGTCTTCAAGATATAAGACTACCAAAAAGCCATCGTAGTTATTCAAAGGTGTATTTGAATTTCCATATGGTTATGCAACTGATTTTTTTATTGAAGCGTTAGTTTATTGCGGCGCTTATCCTGGAAAAACTGCGCTAAGTGCCTTATGTAATACCATGACAATTTAAGTTGTAATTGAATGACAGCATGATATCCCACCAATATTTCCAATTTGCTGTGACGGGCTTAAATAGATGACATTCAATTTTTTTTCATTCACTCCAAAAATTTAGTTACTTATAAAGAGGAATGAGAATTCTGAGTAATAAATCAAAGTCACTGTAACTAAGTAATAACTTCTATTTAATTACTAATAATGGTGCCCTTTCCTCTCAAAGTGAATTACCCTCTTCTTTCAATATTAATTAAGAAATTATTCAACCCCGAACTGATAAAATTAATAATGAATTTCTTATAAACGTCCATCAAATGTCAAGCATCTTGTCTTATTTTCCAATTATGATAGAATTTTTTTGGACTAATGCTTGGACTATAAAATGAAAATATTTTTTCAGAATTTGGCAAAGGAGCTTGCGATTCATCTCACATCAGATGACCGTACATCCGTCCATGGATATCTGCCACATTCTCCGGCTCCCATTACCGCAAGACGAAAGTCACAAATATACATTAACTTACACCGGTCTTTTCTTATTGAGAAAAGGGCCAAACGAGCAGGAGTCTCACCTGATGGTAAGTGATAATCTCCGCCCATGAGCACCTGCAATACCCGAGGACTCACAAATGAGATGCCGGCCTTTCAGTAAATAGTATGCTCTCTTCTTGAAGGTTCCCAGGGGGGGAAGGGTTGTAACGGTGCAGAAAGACCGGCGGCGGCAGCTGCTTCCACAGAGTGTATGAAACCAGCTGCCGCCTTCTGTGAGGCTGTGGTACTGCAACAGACGACCATACCCGTTATACAGCAATAATGCCTGCTACATTTTTTTTTTCAATAGTTCCATAATAATATTTTTCATTTTGTTTCCGGTGCGAGTACATGAAATTACTTTGCCATACAAAAATAAATGGTAAAGCAACCACCCTTTTTTGGATATCAATCTCAACTAATCACTTCGCAAACGATCGAAACTCGGCACGATCCCACATAAATCGCCGTACAGTCGCTGTTTGAAATCCATTTATTTTTATTGATTGAAAATTGATAAAATTCACTTTAAAAACGATTCTGACTCTTCATAATGCTTTTGTTTCTTCCATTATGAAATTAATGAATATAAGCTCTGTATCTTTAAAATAATTAGATTTTCATTGATTAATGGCTAAATTAACTATCGTAGAAATTAAGTGTTCATTCAAAATTCTTAATGCCGACTTTTTCTATATCAATACTACCCTTTCTTTTATTAAATAAATGAAGTTTTAAAACTACTATAACATAAACATACAAAATATATTTTACATTTTGTATCTTCATTTATTCCAAATTAGTAATAGTACTAAATTATTGGATAACTCAAAAAAGTTTAACTTAATTTTCTTGCTACAAGTACTATGGAAATAAGTAATGGCAATAAACTCATTTTGTCTTTATTAAACTTGGCGCTTTCGCTATACTCAATTTATCTTAACGTTCACTTACTTAAACTCACAACGTTATAAAATATTATTTTTGTCCGCCCCTTTAAGCCAGTATCAATGTAAACATATTCTTTACTTAATGTGATAGTGCTAACAGGCTACACACACTCAGTTACATTTATATAAAATTTCAATAATAATGGCTTCTTAAATATTCACGTGTATAATACAACCTCATGTCTTAGTCAAGTGGTTAATAGGATTTTCTGAGCAGACCGCTGAAAGCCGCTTTAAATATAAGAAAAATACAATATTACCGAGCATGAAGGGAATTTGTGTTTTGGCCAATTTTGATAACTCAATTCTGTATGTGTCGGGCAATAAAGCTTCCTACTAGAAGACTCCACACTGTTAACATTCTGTTGTCCCTTAAATTTTCTGTAATAGTAATGTTTTATTTTATAGTAATATTTTTATGTATCGTTAACTTTATTGAAAATTAAGCTTTAGATTATGAAAAAATTATTAATTTAAAAAATTATTTTACTGTAAAAATAGTGTTTACAATCTTATTACTTGTTGTGAAATTTTTAGCACTTATTTTGACATAAAAATCGATTTAAGAACATTTGCAAATACCTGATTGGGCTTTACGTTAACAAACATACAGACGTTATGGTTTACATTTGATATGTCTCCAATAGTTGTATATTGGAGTTTTGAGTAAGTAGTTTACTTGTTTAAACTACGTAAGGATATGTTTAACAACTTTGATATCACATAGCCTTGAGTCTTTATCAAAATTATTTTCTCAGCATACGTTCTTTTCGTAGTAATCAAGTAGAAAATGACTTGTGGTTTTTACGTTTTGGTACACAATTTAAAATAATTTCATAACTTTACTTAAACTACTGACCACCGCATTTTTTTTTTGTTGTTTTTTAGTTGTGGCTGCACATATCACCTTCTGCTGTTGAACAAATGGGTAGGCTCGTGTGGGAAAGTACCACTAGCCTCGCATAAGATGGGCGTGAGGTGGAAATGTAAGCTTTTGCGTTTTCTGTAGTGAGTTATGCAATCGGAGCCCACATTTTAAATAATTGATAACGCTTTTGCAACCTGTACCCATGGTTGGCGATAATCACATAACATCAGTGTTCGCTTGCCAACTTTTCACATTAAAAAAACTCGAATTTACTAAACGGTACATAGATAATAAACATTTTTCAAGGAATGTTGGTTGAAAGAACATAAGAATAATACCATATCGCTAGTCCATTACGCGGATTGCTCCTGTCGTTTGTCTCATTGTAGTGAGCGCCAGAATAACGGGTGCTTCGATTTTCATTTTTTAAAAAGGCTCGGGAAAAGCAATAGTTTAAATATTAGTCAAGTCTCAAATGAAAATTTAGGTAATTACACAAACGTTAATTATAGAAGATCGTTTTGTACCTAGTAACTTTATTCCTATTAACCTGGAGAATGTTTAAAAATGTATGGAGCGCCGTCTAGAATTGCATCTAAATAAAACTTCTTATAAAGGCTTTATAAATATTCCTTAACTCACCCTATTTATTATTTTTTTAATTTAACACCTGGTTTATAAGTTATTTTTAAAAATGTACCATAACCTCAAAACAAATGTAAGCAGTTTCTAGGTCCAATATTTAAGGTTCATGTTTTCAGTTTAACTGATGTAAACTATTTAGTATTAAATACCGTATTCGTCATTTTATTTATTGTTATCAACCCTTTATTGAGGAGGCAAGAAGGGACTGAGTCATAGACTATATGAAGTAGACACTTACTTTTTTGTGAACCTCAAATGCCTTAGAGATTGGAGTATAATAGAATGTACGTAATTGCACACAAGGGAACACATAGAAAATAAAGTGTACATACAGGCGGATTTATTGCTAAGGTAGCAATTTCTTCCAGGTAAATGGATAAGGTTATCAGTAAAACAAAAGGCAAAAATAAAAAACGCCAAAAAAATATTTCACTCCCCATCATTCCCATGTATATACATGGGAATGTTGGGGAAGTAATTAAGGCCCTTTCCTAGTCAACAATTATTTATTTCAATCGGCCGCAGGTATGGTCACTAGTTTACTTCCTGATTCGGCAGGCCTTTCAGACACCATGGGAAAAGGAGCTATGTGGAAGCAAAAACAGAAGCTATAGTCACAATAATGATCTGTAGCTCAGTCAGAACAGAGTTATAACAAATATTAACAAGCAATTAATTAAAACTATTAGCCTATTAAAGCATAGCAATAAGCTGTAAATATTTTATTACAATGTGATTATTTATTACTAATTATATTAATATTTATTACAATTATTAATCAATTAATTAATATAAAATATAGCCAAATATCCAAGACATATCACAATACAGCTATCACAATGTACAATCATAAATTGCTTAAATAAATTGTGTAATTTTTACACTAAATAAATAATTACATAAAACCAAATGGTTCCTTTTATATAATTATATATGTTTAAATGTTTCTTTTTTGTATTTACTAATTGTAACATAATAGTATAATACATAATAGTAGCAGCAGATTTTCTGTTTATATCATACATTGTTGCTGTTTTTTGTACTCAATACTCATTCAAGGAGTCTTAGAATGTGCTTACCTGTATAGGATTGATTCCAAAACCATAATATGTTATTTAGTCGATCGACGCATCGCCTATCCAAAGCGATGCGTTTGTTATTTGTTGTATTCTATGTTATAGTTTTTATTGTCGTTCGACTCCTTGCGTGGGCATTTTGAGTCAATTTACTTCACACAACTAATTGTTTAAAAAACTTCCCGTCGTAACAATACACGTATATATAACGTGTATGAAGTATAAAAGTAAAAACAATAAACGATATATCACTTTGTTAATGTTATGTACTTTTAGAGTTCAAAATGATGAACACATAACATAACAAATAGAATAATTAATAATATTGGGTACATGACTTGAAGTCGATTGTCGTCGATCGAGTTTCCGAAATCGATTTCTTATGTAGATTTATAAATAATGTAATAAAGTATCAGAGTAGATTTAAAAATAACATAAATAACTGTAACTAGATAACGTATATGTCTATTGTGCTGTCTCACCTAACACCAGAAATACAAGCTTATAATTGTAATTTATCTGTAATATAATTTATCTCTAAAATATTATATCGATAATAATTAAATACAATATTATACTTACAATCGATTATCTAGTATTAGATCTGTTTACTTTGTATACAGCTGTCAATTGCCGGTGCGTTTCCGGATTTGTTGATGATACGAAACAAAACTTTATTTTGTTGTAAAATAAAACCCCGGTTCAAAACGAAAATTCTGTTAGACTAACGAAGACGAAAATAAAAAGCAATAATAATAATAATATTAATTTCATTCGGGCGCAAAAGAAAAACGGGTACCAAAATTGGTCATTCTCCTGTGAAATTTATAAACTATTTTTTTTTAAAGTCGATTACTCATACAAAAATAAAAGAGTTTCATAAACTTACTTATTCAATTTTATTATATTATAATAGCTATATTTTTTATTGAAAAACATAAAATGATAAACTTAAAAATTTAAATAATGAACACTTAAAAATATTAAGGACTGCGGCACGAAGAACTAACTTCTGAACCAGCTGTCGTTTTCTTAACTCCATCAGTTTTGGCATAAAATTTAATTTTGAGGCTAAATTAAACAATGTGTTTAATGAATGAATAGACCTATTGGATTAAATTAAGTACATTGATTTTCAGTGCAGAATATTTCTGGCATTAAATTTCGTTTTTATGACACTTAGCGCTGTCACAATATTTATTTTCAAAAACGGTTTAACTTTGATTATACAAGTCAAATGTTTTATAACTGGACATTAACTCCAAATAAAGTTGGGCCAGTCCTACAAATCTCTTGAAATTAATTAAAAAGCTCTAGCACAGTCCACATTCGTATTGAATAAAATGGGGCTGCGCAGTGACATCCACTCCACAAGTGATATGAAGCCAAGCTACAGTGACTGACATCCTTAAACTCCTGATAGGAAATTTGAAAGATTTTTTTATGATTATTGGCAAGTAGCGTTAGATATGTGTTCATTTATGGTCGCAGTTGTAACGACACGCTGTATAGTTTAAATATATTTTTATGTAAAATTTTGACATTTCATAAGAACGCGCAAGCGTCTATGTGAATAAAGATATTTTGAATTTAAATTTCACCGTTGAAGTTGATTTTGAATAAAGCAAATGGGTAAACTGGACTAAAATTGTGCATTTTTTTAGCGAATTATAAAACTTATAAAACAATAAATGTTGAATTAGAGAACAGGAACTTAAGTAAAAATTTAATCTTTTATCTC